CATCTAGTGGCATTTTTACATTTCAAGGTCCCGCCTGGCTTGGGTCGACCCAGCCCTGGTATTCCCCGGCTCTGTACTGCCTTGGCTGTCTTTGCATGTGGGCAGGATTGTCATAGCAAGAATTCTCAAGGCTTGCTTGATGTCTTTTTTTTTTTTTTTTTTTTTTGCAACACCCAATAATTGAAAGCATGGAACTCATGCTTTTGTTCATCATTCTTTCTCTCATCAAAAACAAGTTAAAACAAAGACATGAAAGGTTGCGTGCTGCTAGAAGAAAAGCAGCAGATTTATTTATGAGAGTGTGAGAGGTCATACATCAGTATTATACTGATGCGGGAGTGCAAGACGACTTAAGAAGGCAAGCTAATGCTAGTTAATCTTGGCTTGTTTATAATATACTGTATAATGTATATAATAGCTTGAAGTCACGCATAGAACATGATCATTAAGACATTCAATGGCCTGCAGTTCGTTTACATCATATCTTCAGCACCAGTCAACCCCCATAAAACCACGGGTCTCTGTGTTCCAACAATTGAGCTGGAAGTGGGATGGACCGCCAATGCAAAGTCTCTGAACCCAGACTGGAACCCAGACTGGACTGACTCAAGCCAGGCTGGGCCTTACAATGCAAAAGGACTATAGGAGTCATGTCTAACAATAATTTAATAATGATTATGCCAGATAAAGCCTAGAATGCAAGATTAAAAGAAGTGTAGAGATCTAAACAATAGAATTTGCAGGATCCGTTATGAAATTTTGATGACTGAAGTTGTTTAAAAACTAGATCTAGCCACTTTAGAAGTGGGTTCATTTGGCTGTTTATTTGTATGTGACCCTTTGATAGACTGACAACCTGTTCAGGGTGTACCCCGCTACTTACACATTGATCACTGGAGATAGGCACCAGGTCCCTTGCAATTTTTCACAGAAATGCAGGTAAAAGAAAATAGATGAATGTTTAGATGTTTGGTCCAGATGGACCCACTTCTACAGCAAATTGCTGCTGTCTTAAAATGACTCTTATTTCAAATTATTCTAGCAGTTTATGCAAACACCATTACTTTAACCTTTATCCTTGCACTACATTTCACATTACATGGTTGTTTAGTCAGAAATATGATTTAAGTTGGACCCGCCCACTGGATGCCTGAGAGGTACTACATTCGGCTGCTATTGCTACTATTTACACTCCTTAAAAAGCACAGAATACTATGTAATTAACCATATACTGTAATGCTAAATCAACGATGATGCAAATGTTTATAAAAACGCTTTTGCATGAGCTGCAGTTAAAGTTTAGACATAGGAGTTCTTCAAGATGCTAGCAGTCCATGTTGGTTTAAACTGCTTTACACTGGCTGTTTGCTCATCAATCCTATTGGATGAAAATTTATAATTCTCTAAAGTCAAGTCCATTCAAGAAGATGTACACAATGTGTAAGGTATAAAAATTTGTCTTAAATAATAATAAATATTTTTAACTTTTACACAGAAACCTACTTAAAAATGGCAGTTATCTATAAGACCACTTTTCAGGATTTTTTCCAGGTTGTGCCATCAGCTTTTTGTCTGCTGTATAAGAAAGCCAACTAGCATGTGAGTCTTTTGCAGAGCTATAAGCAAGATGGATCAGTGGTTAGCACTGTTGCCTCACAGCAAGAAGGTCCTGGGTTCAATCCCAGTTGGACCTGGAGCCTTTCTGTGTGGAGTTTGCATGTTCTTCTCGTGCTTGCGTGGGTTTTCTCCGGGTACTCTGGTTTCCTCCCACAGACCAAAAACATTCAGGCCCAGGCCTCCCTTGCAAAAGAGATCTATGATCTCAATGGAATTTGCCTGTTTAAATAAAAGCTAATAAATATAATTTAGACCTAAAGAACGACAAATAGGGTTGGGTTTTGTATGACTCTTTTGATTTGATCTACAGTACATACGGACATGGGGATAAAATGTGAGGAAAATTTTCATTGGAGGGCATTCTTCAAGTTTTAGATTTGATAGAATTCATACAGGCTGCATAGACATAGAACAAACTGTGTGTTTTCAGATGACTGTGAGATTATATTCCACGTTTCTTTCTTAACATGCAGTTCTCTGTAGGGCGTGTTGTTGCTTCTTGCAGCTCACACTCCCCCCTCAGCTGACAGATGGTCCCATCCAGCTTTACTCTGACAACAAACACTCACTGAGAAGTCGCTGACAACCTGTTTCAAGAAGGACTTTAGCTGGCCCTTGTATGTGTGGGTGTGTGTGGGTGTGCAATACAGTCTTATTTGAACACACAGGGACTCATCATTCAACTTAAAACTCCAACACAAATAATCACAGGATCTGACCACATGGCTTTCCAGTGCACAGAACTCTGACATATGCCAATCACTCTGCAAACCTGTAAACATTCCTTTGGTGGGCACATTTATTAAATCAAACTATACAAATATAGCCAATTTAATGCTGTTAATCTTTGCTTATTGATGTAACCCCGTGCTAAATTTAGAACTGGCCTGAAAGACTGGTAAGATCAGATTCCTCAGAGAGTCTGTTTAAAAAGTTCAGAGTTGGTGTTTATTTTAAGACCCAATGTTGGACAAGTTGATGGCGATGCATTGGTCGGGTATCCAGCTCTCCTCTTTAGAAATACCTAAAAATCTTGCAGGAAGGGTTCTTGGTAGCTTCAGACAGAGAGAAAATGACTATATGAAGAGTTAGAAAAAAATACGACATACCGGTACTTTTAAAATCTGGGGTGTGGGGTGGGGGCACTTGTGAATATTTGAGCTGGATTTATATTCCACAAGAAGTCAAGAAATCTGCTCTTTCCTACATAGTTGCAAGATGTTTTTTTCAACATGAACCTTTTATACTCTATGAGAATCTGCATCGCAGATAGGACTCTAGGAAGTTCTTCCTCTTCCCCACACTGCCAAAATTGAGTTTTTCCAATCTAGGTATCCAGTTTTCTGTCCATGTACTAACTTTTGCTTCCCTTTCCGTGATCAGACATTTATTGTCAAGACATGTTGTTTGGCATTTGCAAATTTGTCATGAAGAGACCACCACTGTTTCTGACAGGCCATACAATAACAAGCCATTGTAGCGACTATGGCCCTATGCTGCCCGCGAGAGGTATACTTTCATACGACCAACACAGTCGTAGAGAGCCACCTGTGTTTCCACACTTTCTCCTCTGTGTACAAAAAATTATAATCTCCTTCCACAAATTCTTCACCATTTTGACTATCTTTATAGGCTGACTATTTTTAACAACATGGGTAGCAGCTCCTCAGCGAAACAGTTGAAGCAAAATGATACCGTTGCATTTCACCCACTTTTCAACTTAACCATACCCTTAACAATGTTATTTCTTGTCACACAATAACTGACCTATAAATGGTGAATGGACTACTTTTATTAGCGACTTTCTATCTTATCGAGAAACTCAATGCGCTTTACACTACAATCTGTGCCCTCGTTTACCCATTCATGCAGCACTCTACTATATATTTACAAAGGCTGATCAGTGCTTTGGATCACATTCATACACCAATGGGACACACATCAAAGGCAATGAGGGGTTCAGTGTCTTACCCAGGGACACTTCAGCATGTGACTACTGGTGGAATTGAACCCCCAACTCTTGCATTGGAAGACAACTGCTCTAACCTCTCAGCCACAGCTGCCCCTCTGTGAGAGAAAACGTTTTGCCTAGTTGATGTGTCAAGAACGGACTATCCGAGCTCGGAGAACAAAATGACACAACTTTTGTCATGCAACAACTATACGTCAGCATGAATACCGGTAGTTATTGTTTTTCTTTTCTCAGAGTATGAATTCAGCTTTAATGCCTGACTACCCACATGGCCGCATTCCCTTTATGGCCTGTTTGGAGACACCTGTTCAAGAACTGTATGTTTCAGTCAAACACAGCTGATCCTTGGGCTTCTTTCCACCACATTTTAGATGTATGATCAGCATATATATATATATTTTTTTTCATTTAGCCTTTATTTATCCAGGTTAGTCTCATTGAGCCACGAGAACTCATTTTCAAGAGAGACCTGTTTAGGGAGCACATGGTGGGGTTAAGGGCCTTGCTCATGGGCCCAGAGTGGAGCGAATGAGGGTGGGGGCAAGTGTGGGTGTTTCACCTACCCCACCCACAATTTTTGATGTTGTCGGGGCCGGGGCGTGAACCAACGATCTTCGGATCACAAGCCCACCTCTCTAACCTCTGCGCCACCACTCCCCATATAAGAAATCAGAGTAATTCTAAAGTGTGGTCACATGCTGGTTGTGGGCTAAATCTGAACACTTAAACAGGACTTTCCTGCTCTTTGAGTGAACATTGTTTGTCCAACAATAAGTGGATACCATTCGCTCATGCCTCTCCTTATAGGTTGTGAAGGAGTGTGTTTGTCTATGGTGGGGCAAGTGATCTCTGTTGTTGTAGCAGTGACCTCTTTGGCCTGCCAGATTGTGGCTGCTGAACTGAGAAGAAATGTATCAAACACTCCAACACAGAGCTGATGGAAGACTGGGTTACTCTAACTTGTGAGAATGTGTCAGCTGTATGGTATTACCAAAGACAGTAACTACTCTGACCTTCATATGGGTGTCCAAGAAGAAATGGAAAAGTTTAAATCTATCAAGTTGTCCATGCTTTGTAACCCAATTCTGTCTGATAAAAAAAAAGAACATCACACTGGTCAAGTTTTTGTACTGCTTTTTCTAACTTCATGCTGTAAGTCCCAGGTTCCAGTAATAAGAGAACTTCTTGATCCTTTGATCCACTCAGGAGGTATTAAGTCATCAACACAGTGTGACAGACACACTATAGCACTTGTTTCTAATGTGTGGTGTTAAATTACAGGTTGCTGGTGGAAAATCATCAGATATGTTCATGTGGCTATGCAGAAGAGGCATGATGAATGTGTCAGTTGTGTGTGAATAAGTAAATTTGTATCCCCAACTGCAGCTGTCACTAATGAAAGCATGTTTTCCTTCATAAAGAGCTGAGGTCCACTGGCACAGCCCATCACTTTGCCTACCTCCTGAATGCATCCGACTACCGTATCCTGCGTATGGATGAGGACCATGATCGCATGTACATTGGCAGCAAGGACCATATCCTATCCCTAGACCTTCATGATATCAACAACAGCCCACATATTGTAAGACTTTTCTCAAGCTACACCCCCTCTCCCTATGATTTCATAACCAAAACATGGGATTATAATCTGAGGTAAACTTGATGCATTTACTTCAACAATCATAGTAGCTTCCTCCAGGCCAAAATATTATGTTAAAGTGTTCAAGCAGCAGTGTACTTATTTTGTTCTCAGGTGTTTTTTTGTTGAATAGCAACTTCTTAGTTTTGAGTCTGTTGAATCACTGTAACTTGGTTATGGTAGTTCCAACAGAACCAATAGTACTCTTGATGGGTGACTATTTTTCAGTTTTAATCCCAAAAAATCCAATGAAATGCACCAATGTATAATGTATTAAAATGTAGCAATGAATTGTCCTCTGTTTGCCTCTTTCAGATCCATTGGCCAGTGTCTGAACGAAGAAAGATGGAATGCCTCGTGAGTGGAAAAGATGCCAGTGTAAGTACACGTCAAGACTGCGCTTATATTCTCAGTAGGGTCAGTTATATACCTTCAGTGATTCCAGAGCCAAAAAAATAAAAGTAAAGTTTTTATGGATCACATCAAAACTAGACAATTCCCTCAGTTATGCCTTTTGGTTTAAAAGTAGAGAACCTGCTTGAATAAGAGCCACCTGTAGGTTTCAGACCTGCTCTATTATAAAACTGTTCCCTCCTGTCTAGCCAAGCCGACATGAATGAATTGGAGCAGGGGAAAAAAAAGTCTCCCCAACTTCCTGTCTTGCAGCAATTGTTGCCTGACTGTTTGTTAGCTATATCGCTCAAATAAATATTTAGAAGCATATCCTTTTTAGCAGTTTTTTTTTTTTTTTTGTTATTCACACATCTGCAGGTGGTTACCCAATAAAACGAAGCTCAGTCCTTTATTATCTTTATTATCTCAGTTATTTGGAATTTTAAGGCTGTTTAATTTACTCCAGTTTTTGTTTTTTCAGGAGGAGTGTGCAAATTTTATCCGTCTGATCGAACCGTGGAACCGAACTCATCTGTATGTCTGTGGGACCGGAGCTTACAATCCAGTCTGCACCTTTGTCAATCGTGGCCGCAAACCTCAGGTTAGAAAAAAAGACCCACATAACGCAGAGACCAAGAAGGTGATCCTCAGCAGATGTAAAGAGCTTTCACCACCTGCATCATTATTGGCACGGCTTGCCTACCCACGTTTACCCTCCATCCACCTCACATTAGCCTCACTTTATGATGGTTTTCCTCCATCATTAAACCTGCTGTTGGTACCATATGTCCCCATAGTGCAAAGCAACCAGAACACCAGCCTCCAACACACAGCTGCTGTCCCCAGTGAGCAGTTAAAGCTCCACTGTTTAGTCTCAAATTTTAATGGGTCCTCTTAAATTCCCTAAATCAAGTCAAGCTTAATTACTTTGCCACATTTCCCTTTAACACCTCAGTCTTCTTTAAATATCACACTTGTTTCCTAATGATGATCAGGGGACTTTTACAAAAGAGTGGTAAATAAAACATTAATATCCTATTTCTGTTTTCGCTCAAGATCACGGAGAGCTTGCGAAGGTAAACATGGCTCACATAATACCCTCATTACTCACAGTTCCTCTTGAACCTTCGTTAATGAAGGGCTTCCATCCAGTCGCTCACCTATCCATCCACCCCTTCACGCCTTCATCCAGGCCACCCTCCAGACTCTACCAAATGAAACGTTGGGTAATTGGAAGTGGGAGCTCCCACTATGGGGTGCAAGTGGAATGTTCCAGTTCTAGTGCATTAATGGCATTGGCTGTCATTTTCTCTGTAACTCTAAACAGACAAGTTCAAGTCATAGCACAACCTTTTTAACCATATGTCAAAAATAGCCATCAAAACCTTGCATTCATTTCATCATAAACATATTCAAACTGATTGATTACACTAGTACAGTGTAAGTTCAGAAATGTGCTGGGTTGTGGGTTTTATAAACTGTAATAGCTAAATGTTTTGCAGAGACAGAAGATTTCAGGGCTTTAGTATGTTGCATACTTCGAGAGCCCTAAGTGACTTAACTGCAGGAGAGACGACTATTGTTGTCTTTTTCACCATCTGGACAAATATAGTTTCACACATTCTCTGCATAGTCTTGCAGATGCAATATGTCATGTTTTTGCTCTTTGCTCCAGCCCATGCCTTTGATGTTTTCTTTGAAAAGCTTCTCATTTGTCTTATAAATAGAAGAGGCTCGAACAATTTTCAGCAGAGTCAGGAAGTGGATCCTGTCCAATCAGGAGCGTAACATCTAGACTGTATTGCTGTTTCCTGTTTTAGACGTCCATGTATCTGCTGATGGCCCAGGCCAGAGGAAGGGCTAGCCGCGCAGCCGAACCCAGCGCGGTCCACGAAACACTTGGACTGAAGGTGCGATGTGGGGTTCCTTATGCACCACAGCCCAGAGTTCTGCCCAGGCTTGTGGTCCCCAGCAGCATGCTCTCATTCTTTTGTGTCTGAGCACAGTTTGTCCATGCTAACGTTAACAGGACCATCGTTCGTTCATCTCTGTAACATTTGGCATGCACCTTCTTTAGTTTGTGTGCAATCTCAGAGAACTGTGTGATTTTTATATGCATTTAATTTAGTCATTTTACGTCCATGTTTAATTCATTCATGTTTCCTTTGTGTGAGCCTTATCATCAGACCACCCTGTCTCACTCATCACTGCTGCTTTATATTTGTGCTAAATGCCAAGTTTTGCATGAGTGCATGCTTATCATGTGGAATGTGTTAATCAATTATTTGCCAAAAAAAAAAAATCACAAAGCCCATAATTAATTAAGTAGTCTTTTACCACATTTCACTGCATGACATTTATTTTTTATTTGGCTTATATTTCATTTTAAACCATGAACAATAGATATTTTAGTCATTCATCCGTTCATTTATTATTTGAGTCAACGTAGCCATCAGTTCTTCACCCCACAGAGCCCTACTCAGCATCTGACCCACTCCCACAGAAGGGTATGTTAGCCCAGAGCAAACACCCGCCATTTATAGCCAACTGTGTAGTTAAGGAAATGAAAAAGCAACATACTTGAACATGTCTTTACTTGAAACAGTTTAGAAACATGTAAAATAACATTTAAATTTCTCTATATTGTAGCTTTTATGAAGGTTCATTTTTACAGCAGGTTTGAAAAAACACATTTAGAGCATATTTTTCCTTCGGTACTCATAAATGTGACTTTTGAACATACACGTCACTGTCTGGCATAGCTTTAAGTGAGCTGCCAGCACCTTCTTGTTTGCTCAAGTTGTGATTTTAATTAAAGATGAGTGTGGGGGGGGCTGCAAAGGAGTGTGTATGAGACAGTGAGGTATGTTTGGCAAAGTGCCATTGTTTGTTCCTTGCTTTAGTGCTGATGGACAGTGACAAAGATGGCTCCATTTCTGTCTCCATGGGGAGTGAAAAATGATTATTGGACTTGCTCCGGTCTGTGAGGCTTGGCTACAGGACATGTCATCACATGCCACTGCTTCATTTTTCCTCACGCTCATGCGCAATTCCTGCCAATCAACCCTCCATGCTTGTGTGCTAGGATGCCACAAGCAGTGAGCATCAGTCATCCAGCCTCCATCTTTGGCTTGTTTTTGCTCTGCTGGATTACAGGTGACAGCAGCCAGCCTGCACGCCCATCGGCACCGAGAAGCTGAAAGATATTTAGCTTGAAGCTTATTATTCCAAGAGACACAGCGCATGACAACTGGAGTAGGCTGGCATGAAGAGTGATTAAGAATTCCTTTCTTTCTCCGCATGTATTTTTCTGTAAGAGCATATTATTATAGTACTACACCCCCGATCAGACCCTAAAGGTCCCACAGGTGTCAAAGGCACCACATTTGCTCCCAGCATTTCCCCACACAAGGAAATCACAGTGACAGGACGAGGAGTGCTGAATTTATTGCCATCTTCATGTGTGCATGCATTTTTCCATTTCAGGAAGAAATCTTTCATTTGGAGCCTGGAAAAGTGGAATCTGGGAAGGGAAAGTGTTCCTACGACCCGAAGCTCAACAGCGTGTCCACTTTGATTAGTGAGTATATTGTCGTATATTTCTAAGATTGCGTTTTCATGAACTCTCGTTTTTCTCCACATAGATGGAAGTAATCTACAGCTGTTTTTTGCTAGCTAATAATTTTTAGTGACAATATTATTTATTGTTAGGCGAAAAAAATAAAACACCTTTCTTCCCATCAGGAAATTTTAATTTGAGTTGTGACTCGAGTTGTGTGAATATAAAATTGAACTTCTTGTTGAGGTTTATTACAATTGTTATAATTTGGGAATTTAAAGGCACTTTTGTACTGCAGAAAGCTTCAACCTGGCAACTTGTCATATGACAGTAAGTTTATCTACAAAGAGGAGGCCAGCTTGTAAACAAAAATGCTGAAAGGGCACCTTGATCTTTGAGAACTGATGCTAGGGAGTCTGGAGTCAGAATGGATCAACTTCTCCCAAAGTCTAAAATCATGTGGGCTATTGATGATTCTAAATTCTAAATCAAGACATTTGCATGTCGGTCTCTGTGTAGTCCTGTGGTGGACTAATGACCTGTCCAGAATGTAATTAATTTGTTCATTCATTCAACCTTTATTTAGACAGGTAAATCCCATTGAGCCTCGATTTACCTCATACCTGAAGCTGGCCGGTGATTGGCACTAGGCCTGTCACGATAAATTTTGCTGGGCGATAATTGTCTCAGAAATTATTGCAATAAACGATAATATTGTTTGAAATTTAACAATAATTATAATTATTGCCAAATTTAAGAAGAAATGTTGGTAATTTTTTTTTTTGTGTAATAAATGTTTTTGACAACTGGATGGCAGTACTGTTTGAACTGAATGATGGATAGCGAGGGAGCGAGCAGCATGTCTCTTTACGAAAAATGGGAGGGAGGCCCCTTGACGTGACATGAGCTGTCTCTCATTCCTGTTTTTCAGTTCTCAAAATGGCAGACGCTCGGTGTGGTTTGAGCTCTTTAGCATAGCATTTTTCACATAAAGCTTTTAATAAAAAATCAGTAAACAAGTTCTCAGCTTCTTTTTGCTGAGAAAAACAACTTTTTACACAAAGGCACAGGTTTCAACTGTGAATTTTGGAGCTTTGACGAGACAGAGTTTTTTTCCCCGAGGTTAGCCTGTTAGCTTAGCTCGCAGCTTAGCTTCTCAGTTTAGCTGCTTTTAATGATCCAAAAACGCGATTTTGGACGGTTAAAACAGATTTTAATGAGAAAAGAGAAAGGGAGGGGTCAGTGAAGAGCACCGGAGTTGAGCCATTTGTCTTCCAGTGTCAGTAGAAAGAAACACGAAGAAGCGATAAAGCCGATAAATGAAAATGATGTTGATAATTTTAATTTATCATGCGATCATCTGATTTATTGTTTATCACGACAGGCCTAGTTGGCACCAGCTGCTAACGAGCCTGACCAGGATAGGAAATAAATGGATGGATAGATTCAGCAGTTTGTAAACAAAACACTATGAACACCATACATTTTGAATTATTATTATTATTATTATTATTTTTGTTATTTAGGAATTAAAATTGCCATTTTCTTAGACCTAAGTGGAGAGTGGTTTAAATCATAAACTGAAAGACTTTTGGTCAGTGGACAGAAAATATGATATAATTATTTTTATTCAGCATTAAGCCAAAGCCTCAGTAATGTTATAATAAAGTTCAGTCAGTGAGCTGTATCCTGTCTTGTAACAAGACATTTGAAGCTTGTGTCCTCTATCCTTTCACACAAGGTCTTTTGGTCAGACTCGGGCCACACAGATGCCACCAGTGAAAGGTGATCTTCTCTCTGCGGGTTGACGCAGCATGTGTAAATCACTGCCATAGCTTTCCCACATTAGCGCAATGCCAGCTGACCAGTATGGAACCAGTACTGTCATCTAAGATGGATTTACCTCCCCCTTTCATCAGTTAGCATCATATAGGGACACTGTTGTTTGTGTTGATAAGGATTAAGAAGCTTGTTCTACAACAGAAGATTTACCATTGACCACCAACTGTTCGGCTCCCCACTACATTAGACATCCAACCATCCACGGACATTTTAATGATGTCTCATCAATCTCCCCATTGCACTGCTGGGGACCATGACATTGAATATAATGGTGGTGGAACAGTGTTTCTTGTTTCTGCTGTTTCCATACTCAAAGAGTCACACCTGCTTTTCAGAGGGGCCAACAGAGCAGCTGGAAGACCAACACTTTCACCCCCTGAAACGACCAGGCGGTCGTGTATGACTGTCATGACGCAAATGATGATGTGTTCAAGATTTATATGCTTTTTAAAGTGTGTCTGAAGTGTTTTCGGAAAGGCTAATTTCTGTTGGTATTTTTTTAAACAAGCTTAGTAATTAAAATTGTGTTCTGGCCCTTGGAATAACTTGTAACGAGTTTTCACAATAGCTCATGTTTTAACAGCTGCTTTTGGTGGAACAAAAAAAGTACGATGGTTAAAAAATTGTTTATGACATTAAAACAATGCTTTGTGCCAAGGGTGGTGCTGGAATAATGTGAGCGTCAAGGAATTTGACTAAACTGGACAGTTTTCTTTCCCTCTCAGATGGAGAACTGTATGCTGGGGTCTATGTTGACTTCATGGGAACCGACTCGGCTATTTTCCGAACTTTGGGAACAAAGACTGCTATGCGAACAGATCAGTACAACTCCAGATGGTTGAACGGTAACACTACTCTTTACTTGCATTCAGTTTTTCCCTCTTACTTCTTCTTGAACAACTCAAACCAGACTGAATGTGCAGTATAGTTAAAATATCTTCAGTTCATTGCATACATTTAGAAACGATCAGTTGAATATTTCAACCAGATGTTTCCCATATTCTTCCTGCACTTAAACATCTCAACATTTCTTCTCTCATCAGACCCCACCTTCATTCATGTGCACCTTATTCCGGACAGTGCAGAGAGAAATGATGACAAGCTGTATTTTTTCTTCCGGGAGAAGTCCTCGGAGATGGGCCAGACCCCCGTGACCCAGTCCCGGATAGGACGTATCTGCCTGGTGTGTATATAGCGAGGCGTGTTTTTACTTTGTTTAATGAAAAGAAAACCTAAAGCATCTGTATGGAAAAGCTGGAATCTCCTGAGGCAAGTCACCCACTGCGCTGCAGTATTTACAAGCTTCGAGGTAGTATTTGGCTAATGCTAACATGCTGGAATCCATGTCATTAACTTTCCTGTCTACAATGCACCCTTGTGTCTGCAAGATTGCTCTTTGACCTCTGACCCCGTGATCTTCTGGCCTCTTCTTCTCTGCTTGTCCTGCAATACTTGGAGCTCTAAGTTTACACAACAAGAGAAAAATAACTTCTTTTTAAAATTAAACTGATTGCTCATGTGCATCAGAAACAAAAATCAAACTGAGCCAGAAAAATGAATAAAACTAATGTTTCCAGAAAGCTTGAAGGCTCAATTGTTTGCTCTGTTTGTGTTTATACAGACGTGTGTGTTTGTGTGCTTCTCCTTAAGGGTTGTATTCTTGCATGAGAGCAACACTGAAGATATTGGAACGAGTCTGAGTGAGAAAATGTGGCGTGCGTCTGCTCATCTCAGCTGTTCACTGTTGTATTTATTTAAGGGGGGCTCCGGCGCTGACCCAGCACACAAACACTCATCCCCGCCTCCCAGTAGGCTTTGCCGCCACTCTCCAGAGACTCGATCCTTTCATTCTTCCTTCGCCACACATCTGGATACTCTTACTGTCGTTTCTTACACTCCGCACACTATTGAAAATATACAACATAATTAAAACTAAAATTATGAAAAAAATTTACTTCCCAAATGCACGAAAAAAGCCTGTGACTATTGTTTCAAAGAAAATGTGCTCATTTATCATAAGACAACTTTTCAGAAGACAGAGGGAATGCAGAAGCACACACTGGCTGCAGGTTGTCCTTGATGATAAACCACAGATGGACGTCTAAATGGGAGGGAACAGTTATCAGCTTTATCCCTACCCCCATTGAGCTTTCGTGCTTTGCAAACCAAAATGCACAATAAAAGTGTGCATGTTTGTGTGAGAGGTTCAAGGAACTTGCAGAAAACATTTCTGTGAAATAGTAAGTAAGTAATGGACATAAAGACCAGGACAATATATCATAAATCATCACTTTAAAACTTTTTTATGTTGCAAAACCACCTTTTCACATGGTGACTGTTTTGGCTCTGTTACTACCTCAATGTGCGGCATGAAGCCACATCAGGAGTGGGTTGGCTACAAATCTCGTTCCCATTTAGAATCACACTGAAGTGGCCAGAAGCCCTTGCTTGTAGTGTTTTGTGAAAGAGCCTTCAAAGTTGGTTTGTTTCCCTAAGACAGCACTCAAGCGGATATAACTGATGAAAAAACGGTTGTGTTCTTAACACCCTGTCAAACAGAATGACGATGGGGGTCACTGCTGTTTGGTCAACAAGTGGAGCACCTTCCTGAAGGCGAGGCTCATCTGCTCGGTGCCCGGAGCAGACGGCATGGAAACGCACTTTGACGAGCTCCGTGAGTACCGACATCCACACCAGAATACTAAGAACCTGCTGCGGCTCCTTCCACTGTTTTCAGTTGAGGTGTAGATGTGAGGCTGCAGGGTGATGCTGCTGATGTAGTGAGGGCGGGGTGGCAAATATTGAGTTAAATAATTTAGACTTCCTTTACACTGGATGATAGCCCATGTACCATATAAACAACAGACATAACATGGTTGGTCCACGTTGGCTTTGATTATGCAAGATTGTGCTTTATCATCATGGAGTCACCGAATACAGCGCCCTGACTGGTACACTGTTCTTTTCTGTAATGCAAGTGAAACTATTAATTTATTATTTAGCCTATTTACCCTTAATCATTTATTCTATTCCCCTTTATCAATTTTATTTCATGTTACTGGTGTTGTTCAGAACAGCCAGTGTAAACCTAGTTTCAAGCTAGTACTAGTCTCTATTTATATAATGAATGTTAGATGATTCTTCTATTTCTTATATAAATTAACAGAAGTGTTAGCAACATAATGTCACTAATCTAGAAAAGTTAAATCTGGTCCTCTGGACATTCAAAAAAAACAAAACAAAGCAAATCAACAAAAAAAAAAAAAAAAATATTGATTTGCTTTGTTTTGTTTTTTTGAATGTCCAGAGGACCAGATTTAACTTTTTTAGATTTTTCTACCTGGATTATTGAGCATGCATCAGGATATAATGTCACTAAGATCTCCTACTGTGACATTTGTCTTGGCAAACCCTATATCTCCTCTTTATGCAACAAACTGGTATGACATTTGGTACTGGATGGTAAAGATAGTTACTGTCAGGCACATGCATTTTCAGTTTTCTTTCATCTAAAATATTAAGTATAGAACAGCTGACTGCAGTACCTGCTCACAGAGAGAACATCCCAGGTGTTATTTATTTATTTACTTATTTATAGGTCTTTTTTTATTCGTGTTTGTGTGTGTAAGAAGGTGATCTGATTGTAAATAAATCAGATTGCTAAACTGGACTATATGTGACTGTGAGGCTGTCAGGCTTTCCAGGGGAAGCTCTTCCTCTGTCCATCTCTACTGGTTTCATAAAGATTACCAGGCTCTGATACGTGACCCCACAGTTTTTAATACGCCCGTCAAAGGTGGGCAGATTATATAATCTCTGTCTGTAAATTCACAAACTTTCTCTTCTCATCCATAATTTTTGCTGATTGATCCTCTCAGGATTATTTTCTTCTTACGGCTGCTCCCTTCTTCAGGGGTCGCCGCAGTGAAATAACTCGCACGAGGACATGGCAATTGTTTTTATGCCAGATGTCCTTCCTGACACAACCACAGACCACGGAGCTACCACAGCCCTCTGTGTGGAGCAGAGAGCTGCTATCTAGGGTGCCCGGGGGAGCAGATGGTGGAGGTTAAGGGCCTTGCTCAAGGGCCCAGAGTGGGACAAATGAGGATGGAGGCAGGTGTGGGTGCTTCATCTATCCCACCCACATTTTTTAATGTCAGTATGGGTCAGGGTTAGGGTTAGGAGTTGAACCGGCAACCTTATGATCACAGGCTCGCCTTCTGTAACCCCTGTGCCATCTCTCCCCCAGCCATTGGTCCGCTCAAGACAATTTATCAAATCCTCATACACCTATGCATCATTACTAGGAGTGTTGCATACACTTTTCATTACCCCTGCTTCAAGATCAAGGTCAAAAATAAAGGTCAAATGTTCTACAAGGTCTGAGCCATTGCTATAGATTGCTGTGTAGACGTATAATGTGCCGTATGTGGTACTCTTGTCTTTAACTAAACACAACACTGAAAATGATCTTGTCATTACATATTAATTTTTTTTTTTAGCTCATTGATTTATTTATTTCTTGTTTGGCACCTGCTTGCAGCTCTAATGTCCCACTTTGTTTTGATCAGTGAGGTATGTTTTTTATTGATCTTAAGCCAGCAGCAAACGTGACACATTTTAAAACTGTGCAGCCAGTTCACATGAATAAAAATAAAGTGGTTCTGAGTGAAAATGGGCTGGTACTGAATTTTGCGAACAAGGATTCTGTCTTTGCAGGTTAGGTCAGTGTTGACATAGGTACAGCAGTGCCGAGTGGCTCTGAGACAGAAAGACTGCAGTGTTTGACACTAATGATTAATTGTAGGATATTGCCTAAAAAAGCCTATAAATGTGTAGTGGAACAGGCTGGTGAATGAGCAGTCATGTCATGGGGATAGTGTAAAAAATAGTACAAGCCAGACCGCAAAGTAGCCATCTCTGCCAAAAAATCTGAGAGGGTGGAAATGATTAATTTTCATGTTAATGGCTCCTCATTTACAGTCTGGATTGATTGTTTATAAAGTCACTTCACTTGCAGAGTTTTTAGGCTCTTTCACAAAACCGTTACATCAAATGTCCTCAAAGACCGGTCCATCTTTATGCTGTCTCTGAGCGTTTATAAATCACAGATGGAGTCAGCCACGTCCCTCATTAATGTGAGCTTTCAGAAATAAAGCAAGCGTCACCGAACCGAGAGGCGTGGAGCAGAACTCACTTGAAGCACGTATATTAAATGTGTGACGGACGTCTTCCTCATATTGTTTTGAAAACTTGAGAAATTAACTCATTTTAATGGTTCTTTTTGTGGTTAACAAATCTATTAAACTGCTGTGTTGCTATATGTCACCATTGATCCTTTCTCAGTAATAAATCTGTTTTACTTGTTTAATCCCACAACCGGGCAATCACACAGACATATTTCATATTTTGTCACTTCATCACGTTATTTAGCCACAAAGCCAGTTTACCTTCTTGCATGTCCATGTTTACATGGACATAAGTAATCAGATTAAATGGTCATTCAGAATAAAAATGTGTCATGTACAGGTAAACGCTCAATTCTTATTATTCTTTGTTGATTTAGCTCAATCTGAATGAATTTGTAATCAGAATGAGACGGGTGGTTTACGCCAATTCATAATCCGGTGAACGGTGTGCATGTAAACACTTAATCTGTTCATTTTTTTCCGATTGTGGAAAACTGACCTGACTGTGCATGTGTGACCTATGTCTACCTCATGTGTTTCCGCCTAGCTAGATGCTAACAATATTATGTCGGGGAAGTAAAACTGGTCGGTGAGCGACACAACATTTCTACTAGAAACTTTGAAAGAGCTCAAAATGATCTGTATTACCTGTAGATCAATCAGGGAGTGCAGTAACGTCTCCACCGTCATTAAAACCTGTCATGGATCCATTTTGGGCGCTCAGGTTTGTTTACGTTCATCCCGGAAGTAAACCGGAAGTAGAACTTCTTCTTTGGTGTTTTTTCTAAGGAGAGTTTACCACTCTGCACATGTCAGTACTTCTATTCTGAATAAAAGCTGCTGCATGTAAACACTCGTCGTGAACGGCTTGTGCCCATGTAAACAATACATTTGAATTATTTAATCTAGAAACTTTTCAATATGGTCAAAGAATTTTGCGCATGTCAAACATAGCTTCCGCTCTGTTTCTATCTGGCTTTGTGGTACAAAGGTACATCAGGGGAGGGTTGACTTGAACTCCCATTGACACCTTGGTCCATTCAGAAATCACAACAAGACAACCAGAATGTGTTTAAGTCCCAGCTTGAAGTGTTTTGATAAAAGGATCCATTTCACTACAGAGAAAACTCTTCAGGTAGTCAACAGCTGCACATTAAAAATTGGTCTTTTTTTTTTTTAAAGTAATTATTGGTAACCTTTGTAAAAGTTTATATAAAACTTGATGCAATTTTATAATTTATGTTCAATAAATCTAAAACTATTGGAAGAAAGCTGTGACTTAATCAAGTGCTGCAGTAGCTCAGTGGGCACTATCGTGGTCTCATAATGAAGAGGCTGCAGGTTTGAGCTCAAGTTTCATCAGGAAGGGCATCTGGTGTAAAATAATGGCAACCACAGAGGAAAGGTTGAGACAAAAAAAACACAACATTCAAAATCAATTGCATACATTTTTAGTTTATATATAATGTAAATGTATAATATAATTTATATTATAATAAATACAGTACACTATCAAATGCAAATATTCAATGTAAAACACACAAAATGAAGATGCTCAGAAGCTGTACGGTTTTGTAATATGTTATTTTTGAGTTTAAAGGGTTTCTATAACTTGAGACAGGTGGCATGTTGAATATGTGGCACTGCAACTAAATAATAATAAAAGAATCTGAACCCTTTCAAAGATCATTTTAAGATATTCTCAGAGTAAACTCATCAATATTTCTACAAAAACTTTTAACTGCAAATAATATACAGTACATACATACATCATATACATATACACTTTCTAAACCCTCCTACTGTATTTTCTGTTTTATCTTACATTTTTCACAACTCAACATTTTCACCGATCACAGTTTTGCAATTTCGTCAGGAGCTCGTTGTTTATTTCATGTAGATGGCCTTGTTTCTCTTAGAAGCCTTGATCTATGATTTTTCTCATAAATATCTGTCTGCAAGTCTGTTAGTGTGCACTTGTGTTCTCTTGGGTGCAAATATCTCATTTCTGCAGCACAACAGCTGTATGTCATGACAAGAGTCATGTGTTGCATGGCACCCATGGCAGCCCATTGGGTTGCGGCCACGCTAACCCATGACCGTTCCAGCGCTCTGGCTTGTGTCAGCTGTGGGAAACAACATGGTGGTGCGTGAGAGAGAACGGGTGTGAACCTGCTTGGGACTTGATAGTAAGAACAATGGACCGGCTCTTTCTGAACTGTATCCAGCTCTCCAGGGACGAGTTTGAAACTACCGACAATCCCCAGAGAACGACTGTACATCCTCACTAATGCAGACAGAACCAGAACCCAGCAGTTCAGATTCAAAGACTATCCTCACATCGTCCATGTTTCAAACTATTTGCATCTGTGACCTGACAGCTAATTTCTCATGCTGGTCTGTAAGGGGCTGTGAGCACATAAATCTTGATTGGCGCACTTGTTCTTTTCCAGTATCTGATCAGTTCATCTTCTGTTTCCACACTTTCTAAACCCTCCTACTGTATTTTCTGTTTTAACTTACATTTTTCAATACTTGATATTTTCAGCAATCATGTTTTTGCAACTGGGTCAGGAGCTCATTGTCTATTTCGTGATGACGACCCTTGTCCTGTTGCAGGCTGTGAACAAGTCCCCTAGGACTAGTATTTAGGTCAGGTAGTCAACAGCAGAAAGAATTATCACCTGTACTTGGCAGCAAACAAAGGATAAGCTAAATCAGGCAGAGTCGGTGTCAAAGCCCTGCAGGACAACTAACGCAAGTGTTTGTGATTTAAAAGCTTTACGAAGTTTATCATGCATTCCTTGTTTGGGTTAGAAAGAATGTTTTCCTATTTCTTAACGTAGCAAAAAGTTTTGAAGCAAGAAGACATTTTGTTTAGCCATCTACCACTGTTACGAAAAGTCGCTTGTTAATAAGCATCTCCTCACATATCCAACACGTTCACTTTGCTTATTATTCAAACCCACTCAATTGTTTTCTCTCACCCTGTTTCTGTTCACTGACCTAACTTCTCCGTTGTCTCTCACAGGAGATGTGTACATACAGACAACGCAGGATACAAAAAATCCTGTGATTTATGGCGTCTTCACAGTCTCTGGGTAAGGTAATCACTACCGATCCCTAATCTGCAGTTTCTACCACTCTAATTGTATGGAGAAAATAAACCTAACCAGTTTTTACATTTACCCCACAGTTCTGTGTTTAAAGGTTCAGCAGTTTGTGTGTACTCCATGGCCGACATCCGCATGGTCTTCAACGGTCCCTTTGCTCACAAGGAGGGCCCCAATTACCAGTGGGTGGCCTACACTGGGAAGATGCCCTACCCTCGACCTGGCACGGTGAGCATCACCCCACTTTCTCTTCTCTTCTCCTTAGACCTCAAACAAAAACCACCTGAACAAGATTCTAAATATCACTGCTAGACGTTAATGTGATGGTGGGGTTCGTGCTTGTGCTCAGAATGTTAATGCCTGCCCCTCTTAGTGCCCCGGAGGAACGTTTACACCCAACATGAAGTCCACAAAGGACTACCCAGATGAAGTGATTAACTTCATGAGGAATCACCCTGCCATGCACAATGCGGTGTACCCAGTGCACAAGCGCCCCCTAGTGGTTCGGACCAACGTGGACTATGAGTTCACCACCATCTCAGTGGATCAGGTGACGGCTGCAGATGGCAACTATGAAGTGCTTTTCTTGGGAACTGGTGAGTTTATAGAATATATATATATATTTTTTAAATCTTTATTTTTAAATTTTCATGTTATGTAGGGTTATTTTTACTGTTGAAGGTGTTTGAAGTGATGAACCCTTTGATCCAAGTTTACATGCTGAGTGACACTGTCAGTGGGGGGCTGAGTAATGGAGAACAAAATCTCCATGTGGATATAAATCCCATAAAATGGAGAACTTGTCTCTGATATGATTAGGGGAAAAACAGTCTTTCCATTTGTGCTCAAGTGGAAATTTAACCTATCAATCAATTTGTACTGGATTCTGCTCCCATGGAGTAAACAACAGAGGATTTGTACCTGGAAGGCAGGAGTAGATCAGGAGCAGGGAGGCGAGAACTGAAGCAGTGATGCAGGAAGGAGGGTTAGAGTTGCCATATTTATCACTTTAATCCCACACCCCGTTAAAAGCGCAATTATCTGATCAGCTTCATGTCTTTAACTTTTAATGAGGCTGCTGTACAACAGCCGTCACAGAGTTTGTTGCTCTTACAGATTGCGTATCACACCTCTTACCTCTGCCTTTTTTTTTTCATCCTTCTGAGCATTACGGGTAGGAGACTAATGGGCCTGTGTGAGATGGCAGCTGCTGTGGAGGAATGTGTGTCCTTTCAGCTGCTGTCAGAGAGTCAGAGCTATTCAGCCCTGCACAGGGGTTCAATTCAGAACGCATAATAAATCTCAGGTATCCCACTCACAGGAATGCTTTACAGAAATCAAATGGAGCAGGGAGAGGCCAGAGCATGTCTTACAGCATCCAAACAAATAGGTCAGAATTACAGGAAAAGTTTGTAACGGAGAACAGTTGTGGACGAGAAGCCAAGGTCACCGAGTGAAGTACAGTGCTGCCTGTAGATTTAGGGATTATCCTTGTTGGTGGCTGCTGAGAGAGTCAAACAAGAATCCAAGAGGCTGTTGACAGTCAGGGGATGGGGGGTGGGGAGGTTGCAGGTGTGTAGCTAATAGTTGTGTGTTGTGGTCCACAGACAAAGGGACTGTTCAGAAAATCATTGTGTTGCCTAAAGATGACCTGCAGACAGAGGAGTTGGTCCTGGAGGAGGTTGAGGTTTTCAAGGTTAGCCTATACACTTTTCCTTTTTATAAATCTTTATGTGCTTCTTTTGTTTTATAGTGTTTCTAATATTTTTTACAACACATACAACTAACTCACTGTCCTCACAATCTTTATCTTCACCCATCCAGGTCCCCACACCTATAACAACAATGAAGGTGTCATCCAAAAGAGTAAGTGTGTCTGCACGAGAGATTTTCTGAACACATTGTCACGCGAGCAGGAAATCAAACCTCTGTCCAGTTTTGAAAGGATACGAGCCACATGTGCGCAGCTGCATTGCTCTCTTGCTTCCTTCCTCATAATTCAAATCAAAGCTGCGAGTCTCAAAGACAATGGAAAGAAAAATGGAAAAGACATCAAAAGTTCAGTGTCTTCTTTCAAAGTGATTAAAATACTTGGCCGCCTCTACATGTCGGGACATCAGGCAGAGAGATAGGATTGCACGCAGCCTGTCAGGTTGATGAATTTTTAACAGCTGACCATGAAAATATGAAGCCAATCATAACATGAACGACTCTGCACAGGGCTGGATTTTATACTTATTTCAGCATTACAGTAGTCCCTCATTTATCGTGGGGGTTTTCGTTCTCAGCCCCCCCACAATAAGTGAACAGCCGCGAAGTAGGAATAGAAGTACAAGCAGTAGGT